ACATCATGCGGTGAGATTCTGTTTAGATTTTCTCTTCTTGGTCACACTTTCAGACCGTCGCTCCACGCGGCAATCAAGTGTGCTGTGCGTGCTCTATAAAGACGTCAACAGCAACACACGGTGGGGTTGAATTCGTCTTTTATGCAATCGTTAATTAACGACACAACATGATGTGTTTAGAACAAAATTGCAACAATACTAAACGATATAGAAAATTGGTGTGAAAGAGAGAGTTGTAGAGCGCTTTTAAGAGGCATCATTTAGTTAAAGAAAATAATGCACTTTATCACGTATCTTTAAAAAATAAGGGAAAACACGTAGAAAATCAAAAGTTTTAGACATGCTTATCTCTTTACTGTAACTAAACGCAGCTTACTTAAAGTAGAAACTCAATTTTCAATTAGGACATTTTCGAAGCTGTCCAACGGAGGTGATATATTTGTGCTAAGAAGCATATTTTTTTGAGCTAGAGCCAATTTATGGCTAGCATAGACCAAAATAGAAAAAGTTCAATAACTCAGTTATCTTTGAGATTTGATCATTTAGGGGAATTTACGTATTCTCGGCAACCTAAGCGGCGACCTTCTTTCTATAGCCTTTTTCTCTAAGGAACGCACACATATGCAGTATTGGTTTGTTTACAATCTTTTGCTGCCAGCTGCTCTAACAATTTCAGTCGAAAGAATTGTCAAACACTGTTTTGAAACGCTTTTACAAAGCTCCAATCTTCTCTAGTGAGAGCGAGTATTGTCGGCAGCCAGTTTTTCATCGGCAACCGTTCCATTTGAACTGCATGTAAATCTGCTGTTCTATTATCGGCAACTCGAAATCAGCTACAATTTGTAGTGCGTGTGTTTCATTTCAAGAAAACCTTGCTGGATTGCTTTTTCTCAGTGGTTAATATTATAGTCAAATTGAAGCTGAAAGCATAAAGAATCGTTTGCATGCAATCAGCGAAGTGTTTTCATAATAAAATCCAGTGAAAATAGTGTTTCAATTTGGGTTGCCGAAAATAGTCTGTCATGCCGAAGCCGTCATTTCCCATACGTAGAGTAATTTTTTTTCATCAAACATAATCTTCTATTTACATTAAAGAACCGAACACCCTGTATATGAGAGTTGTTGGTAATCAAATGAGTTCACTTTATTTTGAGAGTATTTCATGTTATAGCGTAGGATTGTATAAAAACTACATTTTGATCACTAGTTTCGGTTTGTTGTTTTGATATGGTTCACCAGTAGTCTATCAAAAAAGCGTCAAACGAGAAGCCAAAATTAGCATCGAATAAAGAACTGAAATACAGAATCGAGAATGGTGTCCGTGTTAAATAAAAACTAAAAGCTGAATAAAAGTAAATTGGTACGCCCCTCGCGCGCCGCTAGCACGCCTCTAGTGTTGGGAATCGAAAATCTTTGACAATGGTTTGTTTACACTTCTAAAGAGAACAACTGATGCAAGTTTGATCAAAGTAGTCGATCGTAAATTCGATTAAAGTAGTATCGAGATCAGCTATGGCAGATTATGCACAAGTACGGATTTCCGGATAAACTGAAGCGATTGGTCAAGGCGACGATGGATCGAGTGATGTGCGTTGTTCGAGTATCGGCGACACTCTCGAGTCCCTTTGAATCTCGAAGGGGGTTACGGCAGGGTGATGGACTTTCGTGTCTGCTGTTCAACAACAGAAGGTGTGATCAGAAGAGCTGGGATAGACACGAGTGGCACGATATTCAGGAAGTCCACCCAGCTTCTTGGCTTCGCCGATGACATCGACATCAAGGCACGGAACTTTGAGACGATGGCGGAAACGTACATCAGACTGAAGGCTGAAGCTAGACGGATTGGACTTGCCCTCAACGCATCAAAGACAAAATACATGAAAGGAAGAGGTTCTAGGGAAGACAATGTTAGCCTCCCACCCCGAGTTCAGATTGACAGTGACGAAATCGAGGTAGTCGATGAGTTCGTGTATTTGAGCTCACTGGTGACCGCCGAAAATGATACCAGCAGAGAAATTCAAAGACGCATTATGGCAGGGAATCGTGCCTACTTTGGGCTCCGCACGAAGTTGACTGTCTACAAGACGCTGATTAGACTGGCGGTCCTCTACGGCCACGAGACCTGGACTAACGCACCAGCTGCTGGGAGAACCATTTATCGGCCACATTGCAAAAATTGGGTGACTACGGTGGGCTGGGCACATCGTAAGAATGCCGCACGACGACACAGTGAAAATGGTTCTAGAAAGCAACCCAACAGGAACAAGAAGAAGAGGCGTGCAGCGGGCAAGGTGGATCGACCAAGTAGAAGGCGACCTGTGGACCCTTCGCAGACTACGAGGCTGGCGAAGTGTGGCCATGGATCGAGTAGAGTGGAGACGACTTCTTCGAACAGCAGAGGACAACAAGGCCTTAGCCTGATTGGTAAGGTAAGTAAGGGACATGAAAGTAGAAAAAATATTGTACACAAACACCTGGAACATCTGCAGTGGACCGGTTCCAAGCTAAAGTGTTGAAGATGCCGAAATCAACAGTTTGTCGAATGCTCAAAACCTACACGGAAACCCTGAGTGTGGAAAGGATTCAGCGGACCTACAAAAAAAAAACTGGAACCAGCTGCAGCTGCGCAGCAAGGTGTTGATGTGCGTTAAAGTCAACAGCGGTCTTTCGATACGAGGTGTGGCCAGAAGGTACAACGCCAACTTTCAAACGCTGCAGAGTATCCTTGCCAGTCGTACAAAGCCAATAAACATCCGAACCGGTACATGAAATGGAATTCCGTGGCCAAAAAGCGTGCAAGGCTCTTGTTCAACCGTGTTTTGACGAAACACAAGGGCTGCACTTTGATCGATGACAAAACATACGTCAAACTCGATTTTAGACAGCTTCGCGGTCAAAAGTTTTCGCGTCCAGTTGCGATGGACGTGGAATGTGCCGGGAAGATTCAAGTTCGTGTTTGCCGACAAGTTCGCGAAGAACGCCATGAGTTGGCAAGCGATGTGCAGTTGTGGCCTGACAGAACCTTTCATAACATCCTCGGCGGTGACATCCCAAGTTTACATCGAAGAATGCCTGAAAAAGCGTGTATTGCCATCAGGGCTGGCAAATGTCATTTTCAATTAAAGATCTCACGAGATATTTACAGAGATATTTCTGTCACTATCACCGGATGAGAAAACGATGACAGAGATTTACTTCAAAATCTCATCGATTTTTTGTCACGACAGAACATGACAGTGTTGTGATCATCATGCTAACTAGCTCATGTTTTACTATTAAAGTTACATGTACCGAGGAAATCTTTAAAATATATTCACTCTGCCGATTGCGTACGGTTATTAGCTTTCTTGTCATTTTGCAATGATCAAGCACTCATGAAAATAATTCTAGATAGAGCTGGAATTAGGGCGTAAAAACTTTTGTAAACAATGACTTCTCTCGATGATTTCTCGAAAGACATGACTCTCCCTGGCAAATCAACATTACCATCGAATAGGGCAAGACTTCTCCTACCCGATGGATATGTTGGTTTGTGTAGGCGTGCCTTGAGTTGCTAGAAATCAAAGAGAGAAGTCCTTGTTTACAAAAGCTGTTAAGCCCTAATTCCAGCTCTATCTAGAATTATTCTCATGAGTGCTTGATCATTGCAAAATGACAAGAAAGCTAATGATCGGTCACTTCGTCTCATGATAGTGGACCTGTTTTCTCATTGTCACATGATGGTCGTGATATTTACCAGCTCTGATTGCCGTTCATCCTCAAGCATAGGGGCAAAGTCATCTTTTGGCCCGATTTGGCCAACTTCCACTGCTCCAAGGTGGTTCTGGAGTGGTATGCTGCCAACAAGATCGATTTTGTCCCCAAGCTAATGAATCCTCCGACTTGCCCGAAATTGCGACCAATCGAAAAATACTGGGCAATTTCAAAGCAGTGACTTCGACGAAGCGGTGGGGTAGTCAAGGACATTCAGCAAATGCGGGCAAAATGGAAGAAATGCGCTGATTCTGTGTCCGTTGCCACTGTGCGGGCGCTGATGAGCTCCATCAAGACGATGGTTCGAGATTTCTTTCTAACTGGACAAATATAACCATCTTATGCCGTGGGCTGCTTTGCCAGCCTATCACCATGGAGCATCTCAACGACTTCGATTTGGCTGATGATGTTGCTCTACTAGCACAACGGCGCTCTGATATGCAGAGTAAGATCAATGACCTAGCCGAACGCTCCTCTGCGGTGGGTCTCACCGTCAACGTCAATAAGACCAAATCGTTGGATATCAACACGGGCAACCCTTCCAACTTTACGGTAGCGGGGCAAGCAGTGGAGAAGGTCGAAAGTTTCCAATATCTTGGCAGCCAAATAGCGTTGGACGGCGGGACCAAGAGCGACATAGGTGCACGAATCAAGAAGGCTAGGGCTGCCTTTGCGAATTTACGAAACGTATGGAGATCCAACCAGATAAGTCAACGCACCAAAATCCGAATTTTCAACTCGAACGTGAAATCTGTGTTGTTATACGCCAGCGAGACGTGGTGTGTATCAACGGAGAACAGTCAAAAGCTGCAGGTCTTCATCAACCGATGCCTGCGGTATATAATTCGTGCCTGGTGGCCTCACAACTGGATCTCGAATGCCGAGCTCCATCATCGATGTCATCAGAAGCCGATAGCAACAGAAATTCGAGAGCGAAAGTGGAGGTGGGTCGGCCATACACTTCAACGGGGTGGAAACGAAGTCTGCAAGCAAGCGCTGGATTGGAATCCGGCAGGACATCGCAGCAGAGGCAGACCCAGGGGCTCATGGCGGCGGAGCCTTAATAAGGAAATTAAGCAAGTCGATAGGAATCTGACCTGGGCCCAGGTCAAGGCAAAAGCGAGCAGCCGCCCAGGATGGAAGTCTTTCACGTCGGCCTTTTGCACCGCTGGTGGTGCACAGGACCCTTAAGTAAGTATGCTGTAATTTGAAGTTTTAATAAAAGTACTGTGAAGCAACAATTAATGGGCTTTTTAAACTTATTGAATAGCGAATTACAGGTCTTTTGGTGCGTACCAATTTACTTTTAGTCAACCTTTATGTTCAGTGCACGAAGCACCGTCGCAACTGGCGTATTTGGACACTTTCAGATACTACATCACGCTTGTCGCAAATCGGTTATAGAAACTTATTGTAGCGGCTACTCAGATCACCTAGAAAGTGAGCGAAAGCATGTGGTATGGGATCATCTCTCAGTGAGAGATCGAATGTTTGTGTACGCTCTTTCTTTGACTTGCCACTTATCGTAGGCTACACACTTAATCACGGTTTCCCTGTTCGGTAATTTGTTTAACAGTTTTCAAATTGTAAATCTAAAAAATTACCGAACATTCAGCTCTTCTCAATAAACCTGATGATGATCATTAGCTTTTGCGACAAACCACTGAACACGGTAGTAGGAAGTACAGAAATTACCGCAAAATAACAAGTTTGCGGAGAATGACTTAAACTCAGTAAAATAGAATACCAAGTATTCTATATTCTTTATGTTTTACTGGAGCTGGGCATCACACATCAAACATCAAACAGAATTCTAAGCTTGCTGAGCTGAGCCTTAACTTTCAAATGTCTGAAAATAATTAACTAATAAAAACTCAAGAGTACATGGTCGTTAAACTGCTGAGAGCGCTATACCCAAGCAACATTGCAAGTTTTATCAAGGTTGTATAGCATTCTTCATGTCGGAATCATGGTCACAGAACCCTCAAAAAACAGAATGTGTTACTTGGGTACAGAGGTCTAAATAATGCTTTGTACATCAAATACAATGATCTAAACTGCCGCAATTCGCATCAAAGTCCCATGTAGATAGGAAATCCACAGAAAATGAGACTGTTATGCGAATAGTGGCAGAATAGCAGGCATAACCGATAAGACATCCTTTAATCGGTTTGAAACTGCTTGGTTAATTTCTTTTGCTGTGCTGACTAACACAAGCACCGTCTAAACTTACATTCGCCAACTCGACTTTTCGCATCCTTGCTTTAATATTCCATCATCAACTTCCCCATCTGACGCTTCCTATTTTCATAAATTCTTCCTTTGCCCGACACATACACGACGACCACCAGTCCAATCTTCGAAACAATCCTACCTGATACTGCTGCTGCACCAAATGGAAGTATTGTGATCAGTCTTGATTTATAGTCAACTATGTACATCGATTTCGGTTTTAAGTTTCCAGCTCGCATGCACACATCGGCTGGGCCAGCGAAAACTCCTCCGACATGCATTATTTACAGGTGGCAAAAGTCAAAGGAAAACAACACATCGTGCACCGACATGGTGGTACCCAATTGAACCTTACCTATCTATTCATTACACATTTACAGGGCAGCGATGCGTGAAAGGGATGATGATTGTGTGGGAGGCAGGGGGTGGTAAGCAAACACCAACGTTTTCCGCAAAATCACACTCAGTCTTCTGGTATAAACGTTCATTCTGCGATACTGCTGCTGCTTCTATGGCTACGGCTGCATCAGAATAAGTTATTATAAATAGTCAACCCAAAGCTACTGCTGCTGCTGCTGCTGCTAGGACGCCGTTCTCAAACGCCATCACCGTACTCGGAGGCGGACCGATAGCTAATGACACTGCGGTTGCCGGTCGGGTGGTACACGGCTTCCCCCTCCCCAGCTGTCGTCGTCGATGGAGCCTTCACCGCCAAAGACTCCGAAGCTGCGTTCTGGTAGATATTGGCCAGATGACCATTCCAACTGTTGGTGGTGTTGTTGCTTGGATTCGTTTCCCCTATCTTTATGTACAACTGCTCTTTCGTTCCTAAATTATTGAGCGAGGACATTTTCTTCTTGTGATTCTGCTGCTGTTGTTGCTGTTGCTGCTGCTGGTGGTGATGTTGATTACCATATTCATTTCCAGCATCCCCACTGCCGGTACTGCTGGCAGCCGCCCCGAAGTTAATCCTCAGATTATTGATTGGAGGTCGGGCTAATTTCAGACGATTTTTTCTGATCGTCCCAAAAGGAGTGTGCGGCACCGAAAGGCTCGGATGGAAGATTTTGGTCATTTCCGATCGTCCTCCACCGCCGGCACTGCTACTACTGCTACTGGCGCTGCTTCCGCTGTGGTTCGGCACCAATTGATAGCCCCCATTACCGCTGACGGCAGAGACGGAACTGTTGTTGTTCAACGAGGCCAGCTTATTCTCGGTGATATTGATTTTCTCACCCGGATTGAAATATGACTCCGAGTACACGTTGCGACCGTAATTACCCGATCCAGCACCACCGTTGCCAAGCAGGAGACCTCCGTTTTCGCTGTTACCGTTACTCGAACCGGTCACCGGGTAGGAATCAGTGTTGTAGTACATGCTACCATAGGCCGACTGCTGATGATGGAGATTGTCCAAGGTGTTGGCCCCACTCGGGGAGGAGGTCGTAATAAATCTTGAGTTGCCTATCAGAGTGGTCGTCGCGTACGGAGCAGGTGAACGGGTCCCACTGTATTCCGATGGCGCTTTACTGCCATTATCACCCAACAAGGTGTTGCTGTTTGGCACGTTCGGTTGAAAGGACGAGACTTCGGCGTAATCGCTTGGGTACTCATTGTAATCAATTCCAACGTACCGATTGTGATTGTTTTGATCCACGGGAAGGGTGGGAGCTGTGCAAACCGGAGCATAGTCCTGGATGTGATCCTTGGGACGGGGTGGACGCCACAAGATACCGGACGGGTCTGTCCAGAAGCCGTCGTTGTTCTGCGGGAGTGATGGGAACTTGAGGACACCGGTGCCGTGATGACCTGCGGGAAGGGAAAATGTTGCGTGAATAAATGAGTTAACATGAATCATGAGGGCTTAACTGCGATTTCAAAAGCTGTCGACGTAGTGTGTGGAATATGGTTGGGGCCAAATCTGAACTCTCATGGATCTATTATGCAAATTTTTCACTTTTCGAGATAGTTTAGTTCACCCCAAAGTGGTTTAAAAGTGCAATGCCATGAAAAATCAGTTTCAAAATATTTATCTTTTGTTCGACCAACATTCAATTTTTTGGTATTATTCATTGGCTTAAACTATCAACCTTTCCTCTTCAGAACTTTCTCTTGTTAATAAATTATCACACTAAAGCTTCATGCTTTTTTTTTTAAATAAAAATTTCGAAAATCGCAAGAAGCTATTTGGATTTCCTTATTATTAATGATTTTTTTTTATAAATTTTTCTAAAATCTTTATTTTTCCTAAAAAGACATTATTGTTTTCTACAACTTTGTATCATGCGTCATTTTGATCAGAAATGCCGTTTATGTGAAACATATTTTGAAAAATATCAAGGACGCCATTTTGAAAATTTAAAAGGATCCAAAATGGCCTTAGTATCAGTGTTGGTATTATGAGGATTATGTAGACCATGATTTAGGCTTGTAGAATAATATGAAACCTCTATAAAGGTTGCAATGTTCTGGGGAGGTGGGGAAAGGTGGTGTCTGAAGTATTTCACAGAGGCAATGACTTCCCACGATGATTTCAAGAAATCACGGCAAGCCTACACAAAGAAACATAATCATAGGGTAGGGGAAGTCTTCCTCTACCCAATGGGTGATGTTGACTTGCATGCACACTTACATTTTTTGTCGAGATTCCAACAGCCGAGTAATTCTGAAATGTATTATGCTAAGATTCAGTAAAACAATTGCCGAGACTCAGTTAACAAACAGATATTTTTCAGAGATATCAGCAAAAGTAAGTGCGGAGGTAATCGGCTGTTGGATATTCTACCTAGCTAGATTAAGTGTGTGGGAGAACCTTAACTTTCAAGTAATCATCGAGAGAAGTCATTGCTTACAAAAGCTGTTACACCTTTATTCCAGCTCTATCTAGAATTTCATCCCAATGCAAGCAAAAACTCACCTCTCAAAGCCGTCAGCGCCGATTGCTTCATCAGCATCTGCTTCCGCTTGACAAATACCATCGCTCCAAACGAAAGCATCATCAGTGCCAGGATCGTTCCCAAAACGGCAATGAACCACGGTTTGGTCAGAATGTCATCCATATTGTCATGATTGATCGGATAGCGATGCGAAGTCTGATCCAGCTGCTTCGTTACCGGATCCAACCGCAGTGTGGCAGGACTACTGAATGGGCCCATGCCGGCGTTGGTTGCCGCCGCAATGCTGACCGTGTAGGTTACACCTTCCGTCAGGTTCGCCAGCAGCAGATTTGGTGAGCCAGCGTCAATCGTAACGTTGCTGAGAACTTTTGTGTAGTTGGATCGAAGATCCAGTCCCCGGACGATCACCTGATAGGTTTGAAGCATTCCTGTTTGGTAGTAGAAATTTTAGATCGTCCTATGTGAATAAACCGAGAAGAACTTACCATTGATGGATCCGAAAGGAGGCGACTTCCACTTCAAGTACACGGCAGACGAGTTCAGCAGCAGAGCTTCCATGGCAGTTGGTGGTGCAGTTGGAACTGATAAAAAGAGGAAAATCCCATCATCATTAAACCGCACAGTTATTCGGAAACTACTAATCTCACCATCCTCGATTGTTTTGGACAGCCTCGAATTGGACGGCTTCCCTTCCACCGTCTTGTAGAATGGAACGATGAAAAACTCATACTCGGTGAACTTGTGCAGGCCGCTCACCGTGCAGGAAGATACACTTCCCGCGTTCAACACAGTCAATACCTTGTACGATCGTTCGGAATCTTCATCCAGATTACGAGCGTAGATGTAGAACCCTTCCACGTATTTACCGTTGATGATCTAAATGGGATTTTTGGAAGTTAGGACTCAGAGTCAGACGAGGAATTTATTCAAAAATCCTACCTCCCAAACAAGCTTCATGGTTGTCGAGTCCACCGAAGTGGCATTGACCAGTTCCACAACGTCACCGGAGAGCAAACTGGCCCGAGCTTCACTCATGTCCAGTCCGGAGTTGACTTCGTTCTAAAATCAAAAGAATGTGATAAAATTCCGGAATTCAACTGAAGCCTGAAGCTTACCATCCCAACCAGGATCGGCTCCGACATGGAACTCGGCAGCGAAATCCCATGCGCATTTTCCGCTCGAACGACAAAGTAGTACGTCACGCCTGGACCCAACCCTCTCTGAGTGTAACTGCTGTCCACTATCTGGTTGGCCATTTCTTGCCACCCATCGGTTACGTTCCGACCAAACATCTCCACAATGTAACCCACCAAGCTGGAAGCCCCAACGGCATTACTCCTTACCCAGGAAATCGTCACCGTACTTTCCGATACATCCGTCACTTGTGGCTTTCCGGGAGGTCCCGGAAAGGTCGATGCTTCCGGTGCGCGATAGAATTTGATGTTTGGATTCGTTGGAGGGTCCAACTTCAGCGAAGCGCTCCACGTAGATTTACCGGATTTGCTGCTAGCTACGCAGGTGTACAATCCACTGTCGTCGTTTTTGTTCAAGTCCGATATGGTTAACGTTCCCGAATCGGTAATGTTGATTCTAGCGGATGTCAGAACCGGGATTCCATCCCGATACCAGGACATCACTGGGGTAGGAGTACCGGAGGCCTTGCACGGAAGAATGGCCACGGATTTCACTGGAAGCGTTTGATTGACGGGGCCTTGTAGAATCAACGGTGGTGGTCGATCGTCCTGTAAATTTACACTGAGCACCACTCGAGTGCTAACACTGCCAACACTGTTCACCGCACTACATACAATCACCTTCCCATTGTCTATTCGGTCGATGTTTGAAACCGACAGGATGCTGGTTCCATCGGCATTTTCGGTCACTTCGATCCCACCGTAGACATTTCCCGGAAACAACAGAGTACGATTGCCCTCCAAGGACCAGAACAGTGTTGGAAATGGATGGCCCGTAGCTTGGCACTCGAACAGGGCTTCCGAACCAAGTTCAACGATTTGGTTCTTTGGTCGTACGACAAAGCTTGGCGGGGCTGTGGTGGGAGAAAAGTTTAAATTGAAACAACGATGTTGTCCGAGTTGGATTTCAACTTACAGTAAACGATCAAACTCCCAGAAGCGACAATCGACCCCACGGCATTGTCCGCCTCGCAACTGTACTCGCCCATATCCTCGACGGTGATGTCATCGATCCGAAGGCTCCGATCCTCTAGGACGTGAACGCGACCTGTCGGGGTGGGATGCAAAGCAAGACTATGTTCAGGTATGGTTTGATAATTGATTTGAAATTATATAATAATAGTATTTGCTGACAACAAACACAACCAACGAATTGAATCAGTCCAGCTGTCTGAACGTAAACGCTTGACTAAATTTTCGAAACCCAAGCACGGCAAACGAAAACACCGGTTGGTGTTTGGCTCCCGGAGCGATCAACCGACGCACGACGCGAAGGTGGTCGAACAGAGCAGAGTTTATGTTGAACGGTAATTAATGTATTCCACCCACCGACTGTGGCGGCTATTTAGTAGAACTTGTTAAAAGCTCAATCGGGTGAAAGCTTCCTTCATTTAAATTCAATTCGCTTTTCCTGGATGATCAGCTGCAACAATGGAAAACCTTCCCACTCTGGGTCCATGCGTGCATTTATGTGCAGTTCTAATCTCAAATTAGAGCAGTAAGCCGATGAGAGGATGCATAATGTGTTAGGCCACACACTTAGAAATCTCTATTTTTATACGAGACGTAATCCACCTCTGACGTAAATCATGGAACGTAAACAAACAAATCATGTAAAATTAAGTGTTCCGTAGCCTAAGCGTTAGCAAATCAACGAAAAGTGCGTTTGACTGATTCTTCTGTCAAAAGGGCCGCTTGCATGTGTCGGTTTTAGGACATCGAAGTTCCATGCAAAAAAAAAATAAAATAATTAAACCTATTTTTATGAAAGTTTGCTTCCAAAAATTTGACCAAAAGTTCTTGTTTTACGATTTTTGTCAATTTGCAAGTGTCCATAATTTTAAACATAACAAAAGCTAAAATTTTAAATAAATTATAAAAAATGTATCAGAAATCCGACAAAGAAATTTTGAGATCAATAGGTTCTTTTTTTATAGAAATACAATAAATATTTTGTATATTTTTCCCAGAAAAACATTATTTTTTTACACAACTTTGTCATTTCGATCAGAAATGCCATTTCCATGTCACATTTTTTTTTTTCAATGACGCCATTTTTAAAATTTTACGAGATCCAAAATTTACGAATTTTAGCAAAGAAAGTGAATCATTGCCTACAAACAAACAATTTTGCAAAACATTCGCCGTCTAATTGGCAAGAATGGCTGTCGTTCGCACGATTCTTGAAAACCAAGCTGCCACAGTCTCTGTTCTTTCGACAAGTCACTTTTTATCTTCAACCAGCCAGCAGCAGCACAAAATACCACGATGGTATTGATGTCAACAACAGTTCTCGTAAATCTACATCTAATCGTACATCTCATGTTGGCTCGAGCTCTTTAAGACTTAGGATCCCAGCTCAATTTACTTACGTCCAAAAGCTGAAACCGAAGCGTCCCAAAGAATTCATCTCAAGCAGTGACGTTGGCCTGAAGACTTCGGTCATCTAAGTACAGTACTTTCCCGTTTTTGTCAGCCCCATTTGAAATTTTAGGCTGACAAAAACGGGAAGCTGAAAAAATCGGGAAATTTTCTTATTCAATATTTTTACCATCAAAATGATTTTAAAATCAAGTTTAACCATTATTTATCGACTATTAATGGAATTACTGATATCCGTTTACTATTACAAATAACAAAGGACACACCAAATGTCTCGAAAAGTTTGCGTACGGTTTGTTGAGCCGGTACGTACTGTTAGGTTTCCTTTAATTCCGCTTGGTTTTCAGCACTGCAACCAAGGCTGAACCTCCATATCTCAGTACCAACGTAAATGTACCAGCCAGGAGCCGTCTCTTGCTACTGCTTGGTCCCGAGATGTTGATGGCCTCCGCTGCCTTCTCGACCATCACTCCCAGGCATTTCAACACGCACTTCTAGTTTATTGCGTGCTCCCCAACGGTAATTTCTGACCGCTGCAGCGCTTTGAAGTTACTGATCAATTTTTTATGGGCTATCTGCAGCTTCGCTCCATGCATTAGGTCTCCAATCATGTCAACCGCCTCGTTCACCAACATTTCCATCTATTCCAGCGTCTTGCCTGTTACCGTAAGACGACGTCGTCCGCCAACGATCTCAACTCGTTTGGATAGTTTCAGCGTTAGACCACTGTTTTAAATCACGTTCCAGAGGGTTGGACCAAGGATGGAGCCTCATGGAATTTCCACCGTGATCCTAATGGATCGCTGTCCCATATTTGGCTCGTAGATCAGAACTCGGTTCTGGAAGTAGCGTCAGCCTCCCAGCTGGAGCTGTTGAACGCATTCTTAACGTCGATCGTTATCACGGCGTAATATCGATCTCCTCTCCACTTCTGTTTCGATGCCTTCTCGCCTCTCTCGACAACTGTACGAATTGCATCTACTTTTGCTCTTCCTTTTCGAAATCCGAACTGCTCCTTCGACAATCCTTGCTCACTCTCCGTGCATTTCTTCAGCCTGTTTAGGATGATCCTCTCCAAGAGTTTTCCGAGAGTATCCAGCAGACACTGCACAGTGGTACAGAATGCAGATTTAGGTGAATGATATGTTTTGAGCCTGAAATTGAAACTTTAGACTAAAAGTCCCTTCTACAAAGTTGTTCCTTATAGTTAGGCCCTCATTTTTATGACAATGAATTCTAGGGTGGTTCCTATTATAATTAAAATAAAAAATCTAACTTTTTTGTTTGAATAAATTAAGGTATATATTTTTCGGCAAAGTTATAGCTGAGCTAATTTCAAGCAACTTTGTTCCAAATAACTTTTTTGTATCTCTTAAATTGGCCGATTTAGAGCTATTTTCTTGAATTGAGTTAGGGTGGCTCCTAAAAAAACAGGTTTTTTGCTCTATTTTTCTTATTTCGAATTTCTCAGCAAAGGTGTCTTAGATAACTTTTAGATCTTAAGAAGGCGCAAATTTTTGCTGCACAAAGCTTGTCAATATCTTTCGCCGATCAAGAGTTATTGACGTTTTCATACTAAAAATATGCACTTTTCAAATGTTAATATCTCTGGTTGGGGCAAACAAAAAAAAAGGTTTTTTTGCAGCATTTGAAAGGGCGTATGTTATTCTCAATATTATGAAAAAATTGGAGGTATATTATTTTTTAATCTCGTATAAAATCAATTTGAATTTATTCATATTTTTTACTATATTTGAGTATATCTTTTTTATAAGAAGAGATACAGGCAACAAATTCAGCTATAAAACATTCGTCTTTAAGATTTTTAAAAGTCTCTTGAAGATAACATTCATAAGTTATTTCAAATAAAAAAGTTATTGCTAAAAAACTATTTTTTCCAGGAACACCCTAAGTCAACTCCAAAAAATTACTCTAAAATGAGAACGTTAAGAGATAGAAAAAAAATTTTTTGGACAAAGTTGCTTGCAACTAACTTAACTACAACTTTGTTGAACAACACATGTTTATATTTTGTAGAACAAAAAAGTTAGTTTTAAAAATTCCCTAATTTGAGGACCACCCTGACGTTTGCAAACACCAAAAGAAGGGAATTTTTAAGAACAAAAACAACAAAAACTTCATCGGAGACACTAAATGTCCAAATATTGAAACAAATGTACTAGCACATTTTATATAAATTTGTCATTAGAGTGGTCCTATGAAATCCATCTTTTGCCAATAACTTTTTTATTTGAAATTTATCATGAAAGTCATCTTGTAGAGACTTTTAAAACTCTTTAAGACGAATGTTTTATAGCTGGATTTGTTGCCTGTAAAAAAGATATACTCAAATATAGTAAAATATATGAATAAATTCAAATTGATTTTATGCGAGTTTAAAAAATAACATACCTCCATTTTTGTCATATTGTTGAGAATAACATACGCCCTTTCAAATGCTGCAAAAAACCTTTTTTTTTTTTGTTTGCCCCAACCAGAGGTATTTACAAACAGATTTACAGATATTTACAAACAGACAAAAACATTTGAAAAGTGCATATTTTTAGTATAAAAACGTCAATAACTCTTGATTGACGAAAGATATTGACAAGCTTTGTGCAGCAAAAATTTGCGCCTTCTTAAGATCTTAATCGGCCAATTAAAGAGATAAAAAAAAGTTATTTTCAACAAAGTTGCTTGAAATTAGCTCAGCTATAACTTTGCCGAAGAATGTATACCTTAATTTATTCAAACAAAAAAGTCAGATTTTTGATTTTAATGATAATAGGAACCACCCTAGAATTCATTGTCATTAAAATGAAGGCCTAACTATAATGAACAACTTTGTAGAAGAGATTTTTAGTCTAAAGTTTCAATTCCAGGCTCAAAACATATCATTCCACCTAAATCTGCATTCTGGACCACTGTGCACTGCTACGAGTTGCTCGTTGGTGACTTCGTCGTTTTCTCCCTCGCCGTACAATGTAAAGCCCTACAGTAAAAGTATGGACGACTGTCACCACAAAACTGAAAAAAGCTGTTCCAATCGAGCAAAGCGGTGCATTTTGACGGTTCGATTGGAACAACTTTTGACAGACGCCCATACTTTTACTGTAGGGCTTTAGTACAATGTAGGTGGCCAGGTCGTTGGATCGTTCTTCTAGAAAAGTCCTTCCACAATGACTTTCAGGTTCTCTAAGCACATTTCAAGAGCCACATGTGAATAGGACATAATGCTTTTTGTAAACAAACCTTTGTAGGCCCTTTTCTCACCAACCGAGGGTCGCTCATGCAAACTAAAAATATCATCCCCTACCCGGTGATGCTGATGGTTTGCGTTGGTGTCATATGGGTGGCGAGAAATGAAGGTTTGTTTACAAAAAACTTGTATGCCCTTTTCACATGTTGTTCTTGATTTCAGCGGGCATGACTTGACATCTGAGCTTCGTCATCACGACACGGTATGCGTCGTTGGCAGCAACGTCTCGACCCAGCTCCAGTTAACAGTTTGACTTGCCCTGCTTTATCTCTCGTTTATATGCTCGGAACATTCCTTTACGTTTCTCTCTGTCTGCTTCTGTTCTTGCTCTCTAAACACGTCTTCTGGCTCTGAGACAACTAGCGCGGAGGGTGTTGATTGTCTCGTTGCAGCAGTAAGCTGGAGGCCGTCTGTTATTTAGTTCCAGTTTCTTCGGCATGAACGTATCACGTATATGCTCTCCCTAACGATTCTGTCAACTCGTCTTCCACTTTAGGTCGCAAGTTCTCGTCCTCTGTACTGCCACAGGATTCCGTTGGCCGATGCCATATCGGATTGCCTGATGGTCACTATGAGTATATCCTTCACACACTCTCCAATTCATGTTTTCCACCAGTGACGGACTGCAGTCCGCATAAAGTAACGTCGATAATGGATTCCCGGCCATCTCTGCGAAAAGTGCTGGTGGTGCCTTTATTGAACAGCCTAATTTCCAGCTTCGACAGAGCTTCCAACAGAATATGCCCTCTTGCGTTGGTACATCTGTTTCCCCACTATAGTGCCTTAGCATTGAAATCTCCTCCGATGACTACCGGTCTTCGTCCGATCAGCTCTTCGGTAAGTCCAATCAGCGTCTCGTGGAACTGCTCCATCGTCCATCGGGTGCGTAGCAACTGCATATGAATATTCCGTTAATTTTGGCGATTACGAAACCTTCTTCTTGAATGGGGTATCTGCCCATAACTTGTATTGCAGCCATCCCAGCTCTATCCGCCACCTAGTTACCTTTATCGGGAGGGACTCGATACAGCTGCGCATTGTTGCAATAATTGAGGTTTATTTGGATTACCTCTGTAATTGCTGCGACAAAACAATTAAGTGTCATTTCGAGCGAAATGCTTGAGAATTCATGCTTAAAAACCAAAAAGGTCAGCAACATATTCAGGCTGACAAAATCGGGAAAAAAAAGCTGACAAAATCGGAGGTAGACTAAATCGGAGGTATACTAACTTCTAAAGTAGTTAAAAAGTTCTGTTGAAACTTTATATGCAATTTATGAAACTTGAAAGTGGGTTTTGTCGTGGAATGGGGAACTTTTTGGTGAAGAAAGTTCTTTCGGAACTTTATTTGAAATATATGGAACTTGAAAGTGAGTTTTATCGATGAATGCGGAACTTTTGGTTGCTTGGGTTGTTCCTTATTGCAAAATATTAGTTCCGTTTTTATTTTATTTTGTCATAACGGTGACAATTTCCATGTTAGGGTGGTCCATAAAACCGTTGGGTTTTCGCTCAATACTCCTGTGTGACTAGACTACCATGCGTCTTCGATGATACATATCTAACATAGTCACATAATCTCTATCTATTTTCTGCTTCTACTGTTATAGGCTTAAAAACCCAAAACTTGATAACTTCAAAAAACTATAACTCAAAACTTCGCAAATTTTTTGATATCTTGTGTAAAATAGCCTAAATTTTCAAAGAAAATATAAAATCCTATTGCGTTCTCTGTCTACAAACCATGAAAAACCATTAAAAATAAATATAATCAATATTTTAACGTTAGTTTCTATTTTTTACTATCATTATATTTATACTAGAAATTATTTTTAATTAACTTTCATTTCATATTTTGATAGGTGAAATTGGCCTTGTTCTTCAAAAGTTATGAGTTTATGTATAAAATTTTTTGAACCACCCTAACATGGAAATGGTCACCGTAATGACAAAATATTTTGCGATAAGGCAAAAAACTACCAATTTTTACGAAATTCTTAAAAACACTATACCGTTTTGCTATCGAATGGCTATGTATATCTATATATCAATACATCAATATATATCAGCCTCTAATAACGGTGCCCAGGTCTACCCCATAGTGCGTGGTACGTGCACAGCAATATGCAGCTCGCTCTTAACAAGATAATACTAATAACACACTAATAATGAAAGCTACACTCCGGCCAACCGAGCCTGACCCCAAGCTAACCCCTGGAGCACATGGTGGTCCCGCTCTTTGCGGTTAGAAATTCTTACCTAGAGGCATATTGCCGCCGGATGCTGAGCGTCTCCACAGGACGTCCGGTACTGGTTCACCACCGACGCGGCATTGGAATACCACCGAGCTGCTGGCCACTGCCGTTTGGTTCTGAGGGCCTCGAATCAGAAACGGTTTCACTGTCAGGGGGGGAGGTAGAAGAGGAAAACAAAACAATTTATTATGACATGTTGAAAACCAAGCCGGGGCCGGGGGAAGCAATAAAGCTACTCCTGGCTGCCTGGCTGCATGGTGATGGTGATGCCATTAGAAGCGATGACGTTGATAAGTGCTGCAGCAAAACCAGACCAGACGGACTGGGACTGGGATTGGGACCGCTCGGTACGTACCGTGTACACGCAGGAATGCAACTGTGGATTCTCGGATGCCTACAATGTTTTTCGCTACGCACTGATACCGACCGTCGTCCGATTGGCGGGCGTCCTGGATCGCTAGGTTGCCACCGTCGACGATTCGAATCCTGAGAGGAGAGATTTAAACAGTTTTTGTTTGAATCGTGTCGACACATTAAGTGATGGTAATTATCAATTTCAACTTTTCCGACATCAAACTTACCGTTTCGAGGTGCTTAAATCCATCGTTTGCCCGTTCTTACGCCAGAACACCATCGGTTCCGGATAGCCCCTCGGTGGCCCACATTCCAGCAGAGCCGTTTCTCCTTGTGCCACTCGGGTATTCGTGGGTTCCAGTCGAAATTCCTCGCGCAACACTGAAATAGAAGAGAAAAAATACCGACAATGAACAACATTGATCATGCACCAAATCCCCACGGTTTTCAAATATTCGCTACTGTTACAATTGCCCACATTTGAGCCCCCGAAACCGTACCATTTTACCATTTCCGAATCCCTCAGCGGTGAATAAATGGCATTTCCGATTTCGAACTACTAGGGTATACGTCCCTAACCTCGGTCTAATATGCAGCCATCGATTACGTTTTTAATCATAACTCATCAATGAATTTACCTGCAAACGATATTCTACTGCTAAATGGTATGCTTAGATATGCTTATCATGTCGTTTGCTATCAGAAACCACGAAAAGTTGAAAAACTTACTTTTTTTAAGACAATAACTCACGAGGGAAATGTATGTAATATGGGTCTATTGTCCCCAAATTGGGTCTATTTATGGATGCAACTTCGTCCTATCTTGTTTGATCCTCAAAAAAACGCTCTTGGTAACGTTTTCTGATGTATTTTTTTTTATCACTATCACTGTTAACTTAATGCTCTTCATTCCTCAAAACATTTCTTAGAGAAAATTTTACGAAAACTACATTAAATCACTCAATTTAAAAATTAAAAATTAAAAATTTCGCTTATCGTCTTTTGACCGCAGAATATCTAAATCAGAACATTGTGATGTTCATTATACAGGTTTGGCAGAAAAAATCTCCCTTCCTGTTCGTTCCTTATCATCCAAATGCAAAACAACATTGTTGACGTTACTCTTATTGCTATATGCTGTCAAATGAATTTCATGGGCCATAGTTAGGAACATAGAAAAGAAATGTGTCCCTAAAGTTGGGTCCATGTTTTACTTGTGAAAACGTTGTTAAACAATTAAAATAAACATAAAATATTCAAACAGCAACTGTAAGTTTTACGTCTAGTGTGTATTATCAGGTAATTCCAATCAATAAATGCCATAATCAGGCCATTTGATGATCGTCAGTCAACCTTCCCATCTTAACCTTATAAGTCATGGCGGCTAAAAACTCCGAACATTGTGATATTCTCAACCAGTTTTATTACTTACGAGAGCTGAAAATGTATTGAAATGTTGTGATATAAATTGATTTGTGTGTGGTACACATTTATCAACCATCAGTGATCAATATTTTCCTTATTTTTTGTGTAATATTCCTTAATTAATTATTTATTTGCGTGATAGGCCGAATGAAAGGACTAGACCCACATTACATACCGTAACCCTATCTCCCAATTTCCCGTATCATCACGGAAAAGCACGCTTTCCCAACGTGCATCGCGTGATATTGGATTTAGATAAATTGTTCCTGGCACAATAATTCAATCGATTGCTTTGCCCTACTACAACGGGAAATACTCAAACGGACGAAACACGCACGGAATGTTGCACGATTTTGAAACTCCGTACCATCACCGTCGGCAAACAACACAAATTTCCGGTTGTATCACTTGCCAAAAAAACGAAGAAGAACCAACAAAGAATGAACAGACGGGAAAGCAGCCAGCTAACCTTGGGAGCAATTCCTCTGTGAGTGCCTTTCCTGCCATCATGTTGACCCGGAAACTTCGGTTTCGCTTTCAATCAAAGAAGATTCTCCCCCACACGGTTTGGATGGTGTCTCCCAAGCGGGTGGATGTTTTTTTTTGTTTACTGGCACAGTGGGTGAAAGTCTTTGCTTGTTTAGCTTGAAGATTTTAAGCTGTGCACCTCCCTTTTAATGCTTTCTCGACCTTTAGCTTTTAAATTCCACTTTAAACTGTCGGGCTCTAGTTAACAGATACGGTTTGGAGCAAAAATAGTGGAATCGAATTTATCGAGTTTGTCAAGAATAATTTACCTATTTACGGCTGGACGGGTCGGCTGCAGACCTGCGGAGAGACATCTTCAGACTAACTCGACGGCGTGAGAAGTACATCATCGCTGACGACCTGAACGCCAAACACCAGGCTTGGGGTAACAGTCGACGCAACCAAAACGGCACAACCCTGAACGACGACCTGCAAGAGACTCACTACACCATAATAGCACCGGACTCTCCCACCCGCTTGAGCCTGTTTGGCGTACACTCCACCATCGACATCTTCGTCAGCAACATGGGAGACAACATCTCGCAACCTGTAACCCACCATGAGCTGAGTTCGGACCACTATCCGGTGGTGGCCGATTTGGGCTCATCCGTCAACCGATTCCAAGCTTCCCGATGCAACTATCAACGCGTCAGTTGGGATCAGTTCCAACACTGTGTAGACTCCACTGTCGTCTGCGTTCCATTGAGGAGGTGGTATCCCGGACCAGGGAACAACACGTGCCAGTATCCAGATAGGTGAGCAATACTCCTTTTTTTTTCCTTGATTTGTTTTCCGTCGATCTTGTTTTCCGTGCTGAGCACCAATGCTACCGACGCCAGGGAGGTAGCTCCCACACCTGGACTCTACCTATCGACCGATCAACTCATGAACCGGGGAACAACGGCTTTAAGATCTACCACCGATTCCTAGTCCTGACTACTTCAAAATAGGGGAACAGGATTTTTCAGTTATCCAAGGAACACATCTTACTCCTTGTTACTTTTTATGCCTTGTCGATAGTGACAAGACTCGGCTTTGTCCACCGAGGATGATCTTGGAACAAGGACAACATCCTGAATCTGGAACTCAAACACTTGAGTTCCAGATTCTACAACCATCTGGCACTGAATTTTAATCTGTGCCTCCGACTTGACTTCTTCCCCTCGTGCTGGAAGTCAGCTAAAGTCATACCCATCCGGAAACCTGGGAAGGATCCGTCATCTCCTTTAAGTTATCGACCAATCAGCCTTCTCGGGTTATCACAACTGTTCGAAAGAGCAGTATATCACCGGCTCCTAACATGCGCCGAAGTAAACAACTTGTTACTCCAGTAACAGTTTGGTTTTCGAAAAGGTCGTTCGACCATCCAGCTGACTCGAGTAACAAACATTCTCAGACGGAACAAGTCTATTTCGAAATCATCTGCCATTTACGTTGAAAAAGCGTTCGACAATGTCTGGCATGATGGCCTGATGTTCAAATTGCAGCAGTACGGTCTTCCAATCTTCCTAGTGAAGATAATTAAGAACTACCTATCGAACAGGACGTTTCGAGTCTCTCTGAATGGCATCACATCGGATGTTTTCAACATCGGTGTCGGGGATCCACAAGGAAGCATCCTTGGCCCCATCCTATTCAACCTGTTCACCTCCGATATGCCGGCTCTCCCTGATGGTGGATCGTTGTCTCTGTTCGCAGATGACACATCCATCGTCTACAAGAGTAGGGTCATTGGAGCTCTGACTGTCAAACTTTTTTTTTTATCTAGTTCGTTTATTTTTAAGGCTCAATCACGTTAGCTTTACGGAGCCGATAATTCATTGTTCTTTGTTTGTAACAAAATTCACTTAATTCTATGTCTAGTAGGAGTTGGGCCGGATACTCGCGGCTTACTCGAGGTTAGAGGGGTACATTGTCGAAGGATAGGAAAAGGGGAGGAGCTTGGGAGTAGGGTATCGTTGCCTCATCAGAGCGTTGTCGCCAGTATGAACGGTAGTGTGGTTCTGTCAAACTTCAGAGAGGTCTGGATGTCCTGCCTGAATATTTCAACAGCTGGAAGATCCGTATAAACACGGCAAAGACCCAGGTCATCATATTTCCACACTCTAAATCTTCCAGACTTGTTCCGTCGGTGGATAATAAGATCTGCCTGAACGGCACAGTGGTGGAATGGTCGAAAGAGGTAGTCTACCTCGGCTTAACACTAGACAGCAAGCTGATTTTCAGGAAGCACGTTGATAAAACAAAAACCAAGTGTAACATCCTGATAAGATCACTGTATCCATTCATCAACAGGAAATCTACTCTGTTTCAGAAAAATAAGCTTGCTGTCTACAAACAAATCATCCTTCCCGTAATCAAGTACGGTATGCCAATCTGGGAGAGTTGCGCCGAATACCATCACCTCACATTCCAAAGGATCCAGAACAAGATCCCTAGGATGATCCTAAACAGTCCCCTGCGAGCTATAAATTCTGAGATCCACCTCCTGGCTGGAATTCAGACATTAGAAAAACGGAGAGTTTTTATCATGGAAAGGTTCAGAGACACCTGTCTGAGATCAACTCATCAGATCATACGTGATATAGCACGATAGGCTAAGTTATACTCGTAGTTTGGTAGGTGATCACTTTTTCAATTCAAATATAACACGCCCCCAAGGGGTATTCTGTAGACTAGTAGAAAAATAGGGAATACGTAAATTAGAATAAAAATTTAAACAAAGATGAAGAGCCTGCTAGACTAATCAATTAAACTGTTAAAACAATGTAAAATCATAATTAACAGAAATCAACGTAATTTTACTACTTTACTACTTTCAATCTTCATGACTTTAGACCATCATTTGAGTAGTCCTCAGAACTGGCCAAGTGGCCACACAAAGTGCATATCCTTTCAGGTGTTTTTATCACACATGACTATTATTTTGAACAGGATTGGAATTTGAATTGAGGAGCTCGACTAGCTTTGCGTCTGCTGCTTTTGCTTACTGAGTAGAAGATCGTGAGTTAAATCCCAAGCTCCTCCAAAACAAACATCACTTGCTTAAGGTGATACGATACGTCACGCTTTTTTTGCTTTTTTTCTCTCCTTTCTATGTGTCAGTGAATTGATTATCATTGATGCTGTAGTGGTGTGAGTGTACATAATGCACTACCGCAACTACCGTAAACATAGCTTCTAGAGTTCATTATTATCAGGTCGAATGTGTAAATGTTAATTTAAAAAAATAGAAAGGTAAAGAATTGCCAATATTATCGACCTACCACTTCCCTTCCTATAAAGAAAATAATTATGCGCCTAGCCACCAAGACCAACATGTCAAGTCATCATAGTAGTTAATTGATTCAACATCACACTTTGTACACTTTTGTTACATACGACCTGTCCAAAAGTGATTCCAGAGCTCAAACCTGCGGGTACACGGT